TGAATGCTCAGTTGCAGTTAGTAGTGACATTGTCAGAAAATACTACCTCAGTAAAAAAATCCAGTAAAGCAAAATACAAACTAATCAGTAAATTGGTAAATCCTATTAGGCATGCCCTAAGTGGATTAAAAAAATTACGTATAACAAGATTATACGGCATTTTTTTAAAGTAGTTTAAATACATTTCGACAGCACTATCGGCTTCAACACCCTCGAAAACCATGAAAATGACATGCATGATGAAAAAATTGATACCTAATTCAGCCGTCATATTGGATTTACATTTCGACAGCACTATCGGCTTCAACACCCTCGAATCCCATGAAAATGACACCCATGATGAAAAAATTGATATCTATTGCAGCCGCCATCTTTGATTTACATTTCGACAAAGCTATCGGCTTCAACACCCTCGAAACCTATGAAAATTACACCCATGATGAAAAAATTGATACCTATTGCAGCCGCCACCTTGGATTTACATTTCGACAACGCTATCAGCTTCAACTCTCTCGAAACCCATGAAAATGACACCCATGATGAAAAAATTGATATCTATTGCAGCCGCCATCTTGGATTTACATTTCGACAACGTTATCGGCTTCAACTCTCTCGAAAACCACGAAAATCACACCCATGATGAAAAAATTGATACCTATTGCAGCCACCATCTTGGATTTACATTTCGACAGCATTATCGGCTTCAAAACCCGCGAAAACCATGAGAATGACACCCATGATGAAAAAATTGATACTACTTACTTTTAATACGTACTACTATTATTTATTCTGTGCTTTTAAAATATTGTAATAAAAAAATCTCTCATTATTATTATAACCAATTATTTAAGAAATTTGGTTATTCGAATATTGTGTATTTGTACAGCGATCTTATTGAGCCGCTGCAAACAACCGTAACAATGTCCACTCACGACGGCGACTGACGCCTAACTAATTGAGTGACGCCGTCTCTATTTAGTAACTAGCTGTGCCCGCGGCGTAGCTCGCGTATAGGTTTTAAATAAAGAATTTGTCGTTTAGGTAAGAGAATATTAAACGATTTATTTCATTACTGTATCAATAAGTGGTAACTAAATAAATCATTATCATCAAAGTTCTAAGTGGTTTATGATAGAGCTTCTGTGTAAACGACGTTAGAAGTAGGCTTAGCCGGGGTATACACAAAAAGGTTACGGGGGCTACTAACGCGGGAAAAAGCAACATAGAGTTGGCCATGTGCAAAACAGTCAGTACTGAGGTACACTCCTACAACGCGTAAAGTTTGACCTTGCGCTTTATTTACGGTCATCGCATAACACACACTCACTGTAACTGGGAACTGAACGCGCTTAAAACTGAAAGGAAAGTTACTTCTTAATAGAGGGTTTTTGGGCAGTGCTGCCAGATAAAAAACACTCATTCAGCTCTAGGACAACACAAAAAGCGCTAGATTTCGCGCTAAATTAACTACAAACAAAGTTTGTGTTTTTTTATATAATCATAGTAAAGAAAACAACATTAAGTTTTTTTCTGGCAATATTTTTTTGATGTATCAATACTTCGCAGGACATCGACTTATAATTATAGCAATTGCTGTCAAGAGTAGTTAGTACTGTACGAACAATAAAAATGTCATTAATTGTTTTAAAGTGCAATGTATTTCGCAACTTAGTTTCAGATGTCAGCATCTGATTGCGGTTGCTACACAGTTTCTTTGTGTTATAACTTCTAAGTAACTTTTAACTTAGCTGTGCTCTAAGCAACTGACTAAAACTGAATAAAGCAAAATAAATGCGTTGCCAAAACCATGAACGAAAACTTTAATAAAGGGGATTTCCCCGCTTATAGTCGTCGGTAAAAAAATCAAGTTGATCATTCTAAAGAGGAAGCCAGGAGATCCATAGCACAGGGTATCCTAGTTTGGACTCGTCTCCCATGCTCTTTGTTTTGTGGAAAAAATATGTTTGAAAAAGATAAACTGCAATGTACTATTTGTGGGGAAAAATAATAAAGGTCATTATTATTATTATCGGTAATGTGGACTAACAGTGCTGCTATAAAAGAGTTAATAACCCGCTAGTCGCTAAAATATTGAAATGTGCGCTAAATACACCAAAAAGCGCTGGATTAAGCGCTAGGTGCTAAAATTTCGAAATGCGCGCTATACATTCCAAAAAAGTGCTAAATCTAGTTCCCAAAGCGCTAAAATGGCAGTTCTGATTTTGCGTATATTATAAATACAATATCACGACATTTCGTTGCAAAATTTTTATTTTTGGTCGGGTTCCGTTGTATGGCTTCGATGGATACAAATTTCTTCAGTTTTTCAGATTCATCGGCGAAAAATCTCAACACAGCAATTCAGAAAAGTTTGTAATTTGTACAACTCCATCTATTACGTCCTTTGTGTGAGAAAACATCCTATCTCTTTTTGTGTTTTAAGTATAAATATATTAATTATTATGGAACGTTTTTTTTACACAGAAATCTTTTTATTACTATTTCTGAGATTTTATGGCGCCATTGAACAAATTCGAACCTACATTTCAAAATAATAATCATTACTTTCGATAGAATGAACCAATTTTAATAAAACAAAGATTAAATGTAACTCGAAGATACGCTTTATGATATTCTTAACGATTGCTTTGAAAATAAAAGATGTTTACGTTAGACGTGATGCGTTCATATAATAACAGACAAATAGACAGACAGACAATTCTAAAAATTATAAAATGTTCTTATTTAATTATTTTCAGTTCCCCATAATGATTTTAGCCACCAAAATATAATATATACCTACAATGTACAGAAACAGACACAACATGTTATCATCATTTTTATTATATGTATATATTTAAAGAGAGATGGCGCTGCTAACATCATCAATTCTAAAAATCAAAGAGATTAATTGACGCGATTGATAAATTATATAAAACGTAAGAGAACTTATAAATCAGTGCCTGCACAGTAAGCAAAAAATAAAGTTTGACTCTCGCCAAAACCAATGCAATTGTTAATAGCTCTTTTAAAATTTGATTTACCACATAGAGTACTCGGCGGTAAAGAATAAATTGAGTTTGTCAACACGCAGTAGGGCAGCGAGTAATATAATAAAGATTAGCAGTAAATATGAAAACTCATCTACAGGAAAAAACCACATTTGCAATTGCATTTTCACAACACCACCATCTATCGAAGAAATGGGTTAACTATTGTGCTTCAGATTTAGTTAATAAGGTTAATATATTTTTGTATAATATATTTAATACGTTCTTTATTACTTTTGTTTACTGCGCTTTAGATATACATAATTATATCATTATTTTACATAATTTAACTATGATTTATGATATGATATTAGTTTAAAATGCACTTGATGACTCAAACAAAGCCACCGTTGAGCAAATTCGTACTTCCCTACCCATACCTCAGAATATTTATCATAACTTTTGATGGAATGAACTGATTTTAATGAAATAAAGACTAAATGTAACCCGAAGATACACTTTATAATTTCCTTAACAATTCTTATGATATAAATTAGTACTTTATACGTGATACGTTAACAAACAAACAGACAGACAGACAGACAGACAGACAGACAGAAAATTCTAAAAATGGTAGAAATGTATTTAATTACTTATTTTTAGTACCCCTCAATCACTTTTATTACAAAAATATAAAATGTACAGACATCTGCTATTTACAGTTTTATTATATGTATAGATAATTTATTCATACAAGGCTGCCGAATACACAGAAATTTTCGCCATTTCGCAGCCGAAAAAAAATTTATTATAACTAAACTAAACAAACTTAAATTGCCATTTACATTCAATGGCTTTCCACATAATAGATGAAGAGTTTTAAAAATATATTGAGTTGAACAATTGATATTTTCAAAAGTTATCGTGTTTACAAGCCTTGCGGACTTGATAAATCCACATCATGTCACTAAAACCCCTTTTTTATTTAAAAATAGCAATTAATCGATTTAAAAAAATATTAATAAGTTCAACAGTCATTTATCTTTCTGACAATGTCCTTTTTATATCAATTATATGTACAATATGATTGCTAGTTACGATTTCATGCGACAAAACGTTGGAATCTTAAGTTTTAGGCCCTAGTAGAACATACCGACGCGCTTAGGCGCTTACGGCATGCAATAGGTAACCTTGAATTCCTGGATGGGAAACTTAAATGTTTTTTTTAAGAATAAGGGTGACAAACGAGATTATTCTATTAAAAAAAAACATGTCACACAGTCCACCTGGCACACAGTCCACCTGATGATAAGTGGTTGCTGTGGCTCATAGACATCTACGTCTATCCTCAATTACGAATCAAAAAGTAAGTGCGTGGTCACCCGTGACGACTAAGATGGAAAGCCTCGTTTCCAGTAATAAGGGTTTGCGATTCTTTACACTCACCATACGAAACACAGCACACACACACAGCAGCTGCTATTTTACGCTGGTATTCTGTGAGAGCGTGGTCCTTACCCGGTCGAGCCGACCCATTCGTGCTACAACTATACCAGTAATATAACATGTAGCCCTTACGTTTATGTCAAATACAAAAGAATGAATGAACATCCATAATGAAGCCCTATATAAGCTTAACATGTTTTATCGTGTAAAAATTTGTGCATCTAATTGTGTACACAAGTACGAACGACATATAAGTATTTTTATTTTATACTTAACATAAGTAGGTAACATAATAGTTATACTCATGCAGCCCCGTCATTGAAACTTTATAAGAAAACGGGACGTTTTTGTTTTTTTAATACCGTACTAAATTTCTCCACTGCGTCGATAAAAAAGTTTCACTTCAATAATAAGACGTTTACAATAAATAATACTCTTAAACGGTTTTATGGCTATTCTTTTTTTTCTGCCAAAGACACAATCATACTTTCAGCTACTAAGTGCTGTAATAATTAGTCAACACAGTCACGTAGAAAAATTATGCCTGAATAAAATAAGGACGACCAGCATGGCACTCACCTGTTTTATATCGCCTTCGAGAAGTTGTAACGAGACCCATAATCCCAATGGATTTTTCGTATCCTTTAATTCGCGATTCGATATTATTTTTTTCAGTAATGTCTCCATATTTTCTTTCTCGCAACTGAAACAAAAATAATTGACGTCATCATAGGCTTCCCCCAAGGAATGCCACAAAGCACAGTCCTGAGCCACCTGCATCCATCGACTTCTTGCATATCTTACCAGGTCGTCACTCCATCTAGTGGGGGAACGCCCTACACTTCGTCCGCCGGTACAAGGTCGCCACTCGAGAACCTTTTATCCCCATCGGTTGTCGGTTCTTTGAGTTATATAGCCGGCCCATTGCCACTTCAGCTTACTAATCCGTTGGGCTATGTCGGTCACTCTGGTACTATCTATTCTATTCTATCCTCATTTCTAAGTTTACCACGCAGTGAAACTCCGATAACATAGCCCTCTCCATAGCTCGCTGAGCGACCTTGAGCTTCCTCATCCGGCCAGCAGTGAAGGACCACGTCTCAGTTTCATAGGCCATCATTGGCACGCACTGGTTGTACAGTCTCGTTTTCAACTTTTCAGGTATACTTGACGAGAAGTTGAATCCGTCGATTGACCTCGCGGTCGAAGTTGGACTTGCCTAGTCAGACTGTTTGCCCCAGGTAAACATACTCGTCAACAACTTCGAGCTTAATGCTCCCAACAACTACCATCATAGGTGTGACATGGATTTTATACATGATCTTTGTTTTGTCCTATGTTCATCTTAAGATCTATCCATTCGGAGGCACCATTGATTTCAATGAGCATAGTGATTAGGTCCTACAGCGATTCTGCCATAAGGACTATATCGTCTTAAAATCGAAGGTGAGTGATGTACTCGACGTTGATGTTAATACCGTATCCTTTCTTGTACAGAAGCTTGAAAACGTCTTCCAACGCAGCGGTGAAGAGTTTCGGGGATATAACGTCACCCTGCCTTACACCTCTCTGCAGTTGGATAGCTTTAATACTCTGGTTCTATACTCGGATAGTCATCATAACCCTATTCTACATACACTTCAGCACTTCGATATACCGACAGTCAACTTGGCACCGCTGAAGGGACTGCAGCACCGCCCTAATTTCGACGGAATCAAAGTCTTTAGTGGCAATTTGTACTCCTCGAACTTCTGTACAATTTTCCGAAGGGTATGTATGTGGTCTAAGGTGCTAAAGCCTTTTCGGAAACCGGCTTGTTCTGGAGGCTGGAAGTTGTCTAGCCTGCATGCGAGACGATTCGTAATGACTCTCGAAAGCAGCAAGTAAACGCGGCTCAGAAGGGAAATCGGTCTGTAGTTATTCAAGAGAGCGTTGTCGCCTTTCTAAAAAGCTTTTGAAAGACTTAAGTACCGGTTTTCCGCCCGCTTTCAGAAGCTCCGCTGTAATTCCATCCTCGCCTGGGGCCTTACCGTTTTTAAGGTGCTGAAGAGCCACATATCATCGAAATAGTGTCGGATAAGACTTGCTCGTGGATCGTTACTCAAACTTGCGTGTGGCTCCAACGATGATGTGTACAGCTGCCCATAGAACCTCTCAATCTCACTCAAAATCTCAGGTGTCTCGGAAACGACGCTGCCACACTCGGTCTTCAGCTTCGACAGTTGGCTCTTTCTGGCAGACAGATCTCTAGCAAAGACTTTGGAGCCCTAGTTCCGCTCGATCGCTTCTTCAATACGAGCAGTATGAAAGTTGCGTAAGTCCCTCCGCATGCATTTGGAGATCTGTCTGTTCAGTTGCCTGTATGCTGTCAAATCTACTAAAGACTGCAGCTTCGTTCCCCGTCACAGCCCACGCTAGGCTGCTCCAAGTAGGAAATATATTGTATCGCCCGTAACATATAGCTTAACCTGTAATTGTAATTTCTGAATACAACATCAGTGACTTGAGATTTTAATTACTGAACCCGATATGCACCTTTTGTGAGTCTTATTGCGAGGATATCAGGCATTAGTAACTAGTACATTATTAGCCAACAACATCGCATATACCCACACATATCTCGCACAAGCTTTCCAGCTTCTCTCATGACTTTTTCTTTCGGCCTTTTGCATTCTTGGAATCGAACTTTCGAACTCATCCTACATTAAACATGTTCAAACATTAGGTTATTCCAAAACTCGGTTAAGGAACATTACCTATTGCTCTAATTTCTCTCTTTGTCTCTTCATAATTTGCATCCTCTAATAATCATAAGTTACTGATCTGCGACTTATTTTCTCATGTCGTTGTTACAAATATTTTTAAATTCGAGTATTAATAATAGCACTATAATTGCACCAGTGAGGTGCAAGTGAAACTATTCCCAAAACCTTATTTTTCATAACATTGAGTGACAAACGAGCAACAATACATCTGCGAGAAAGTGACTGCCACAGCCGGGGGCATCTGTAATTAACTTCAAAAAAGCTACTAATATGCTGTAGATAACAGTAAGACTTAGAATAAGAGAATATTAAGATGTGGTGGTGTCATAATAGGCGACAGAGGGAAATAAAATAGAAGATTCATAATAACATTTTAAAACAATAAAAAGTTGCATTTGCCAAAACTGCCTGCATGTGTGGCAATTATGACAAAGATCACATTGAGATTACATTGATATGAGATGTGCCATAACAAGTTGCAGTTGCTAGGGTGCGAGAGGAGGCGATGGTGTAAAGGTATGTTGTACTCACGGGTAGAAAGGCACCTGCAGCTCTTTGTCAGGACAGTCGGCGGCCAGCCAGCGCGTGATTTCAGCCGCCGCCACGCCGAACGGCCGCCGCATGCGCCCCGCACCACCACCACCACCACTACCACCGCCATTACCACCACCCACCGGCATCTGCGCCGCCACAGAACTGCGTCTGCGCAACAACGTCACCCGTATACTTCTTTATTACAGTCAACCCCTTACTTTTGAATATATCATTAATAATACTCGTATAAGATTTAAAAATAAAACTTAACACGCATTGATCATGAGCTGTAATAATCCTGAGAATTATTTTATTTTAACCTGATGACCCTCATCAGGATACTAGGACAAAGTCATTTAATTATTGTATTGTCATCTACTTAAATACTACTGTACTACCATACACCTTTGACGCTTATGCCCGTCGTTGGTCTGATTATTTCAGCAGAAAAATAATATAATACATAAAATTTAGATCCAAAGTTATAGAAAGTGCCTGATTGAATATATTTAATGTATTCAAACAAGACAAATATTGATTTTTATTGACATTAGTATTAAATTAAAACATTTATACAACAACATTATAGTATTTTAACATTTTGCGATTATACAGAGGATATTTATAATACCAGATCAAAGATTACAAATTTTTATCTGATATTATAAATATTCTTTGTAATTATAAATTCCTTTTTGGTGATTAAAGATCTTAATGGGTTCCTTGCCTTAGTTATGGGAAATTATATTATAAGATAGAAATTGTTAACAAACCTGTGGTCGACATTCTGTGGCTCCATGGTACCTATCCGGACGACATTACATACGAGGAACACCTTTTCCTTCTTTATATCGCTGCCCAAATCCTGAATAAGGAGAAACACATATAAATATGAGTATGCAAGCAATAGGTAATAAAATAATCTGAATAAAAGAAAAACTATTAAAAATATTTTGTTTATGTAATAATTGCTTCCGTATCGCCCGATAGAAGCGAAGCTTCTACGCAATTATATTTTATACTAGCTTTTCCCAGCGACTTCGCCCGCGTGTAATTTAGGGTTTTAATTATGTTGCGTGGAATCCTAATTATTTTTCTAAAATATAAGTAGCCTAAGTTACTCCTTATAACATCAGCTATTTGCCAGTGAAAGTCCCTTCGAAATCGGTCCAGCCGTTTCGGAGATTAGCCGGAACAAACAGACAGAGAGACCGACACACAGACAGACAAAAATTTTAAAAATTGTGTTTTTGTTATAAGTACCGTATATACTTTCATATGCATTTAGTAAAAAGCTGTTATTTTAATATTACAAACGGACACTTCAATTTTATTTATTTGTATAGATGATCCTAAGCAGGTGGTAGTATCCAGCTTTCTTCTCTATTGAATTTATTTTAAATAGAATAGGGTGACAAACGAGCACGCAGTCCACCTGATGGTAAGTGGTTACCGTGACCCATAGACATCTACATCTATCATCAATAAAGACTCAAGATGCAGATGCGTTGCCACCCGTGAGGACTAAGATGGAATGCCTCTTTGCCAGTAATAAGGGTCTCCGGTTACTACACTCACCATACGAAACACAGCAGCGTTAAGCTGCTATTTTACGCTGGTTTTCTGTGAGAGCGTGGTCCTTCCCCGGTCGAGCCGACCCATTCGTGCTACAACTATACTACTAATATAGCCGCAGCATGGCTCTACCACGTGAATTAGGATGTTTTTATTTATTATTTTAACAGCCGCACGTATAATTTTTGGTATGAATCGATGTCTTTTCGCGAGGATTTGTGGTCGATCAAATCTGATGTAATGGCGGGGGCCGTATAGGATATGATCACAAACTGCAGCCAGATAAAAGAACATATAGTTTACGTGAACATAGCTGTTGGCGTACCACGAGTTTTGGCGGGAACTTGACCGGCGACGGATTGCTGCACCTGTATTATTGTTTAAATAATGGTTTGAAGTGGATTTTGATATGTAAAACGGGTGCCATTTTGTGTATTAAATGTCTGCGCACGTGAACTATTAGTGCAAAAGGTGAAACAAGTGCCATGATGGTGATGTGATTTTCAAGATAAGGTGTCTGTCTGCTTAGGAGTCTTGAGATACCATCGCCAATCATCTGTCTGCTGGTTCAAGTTGCTGTCAAAATCTTCCAAGGGCTGCACAATGTGAGGCATCAACATATTGTGAAGCAGTGTACTATGAAGGATAATTATACAATGTAACTTCAGACTCAGAAGGGCTAGAACCCAGAGCCGTAAAGGCACTTATTAAAAAATGTTGGCGTACCGTGAAGAGCAGGTGCGCGGGCGCCAGGTGGTGCGCGGGGCAGCGCAGCAGCAGCGGCTCGGTGAGCTGCGCGCCGGCCGCGTCGTGCAGCGCCAGCAGCAGCTCGGCGCCGCCGCCCACGCGGCACACGAAGTTGTGCACGCGCACCGCCAGCGAGTGCGTGCGCGCACCGCCCACCGCTCCACTCCCACTCCCACTCCCTACACCACCGCCCCCCGACGCGTTCTCCTGCAACACCGCAAACAATACGAACGTTCAATCAAACACTTCTATAACCTTTTACTGTCAGCATACACGGTACGTAAATCGGAAACAGTGCTTATAACGTTACCTTGTTATATTACAAAAAAACGCTTAGTATTAATTATTACGTGTATACTCATTTGAACGATTACGAACTACTTTCGAAACCCCCCATAACTCTAAAACTAGACCAAATCGTCGTACCCAATAATGACTTCTTAATTACCTATAATCCAAACTTTCATGAATATTTCTATTATGTTATAGTTATTAAGTTATTAAGGGCATTTTTCATCATTCACTAACTCAATCGACCAAAAGCTACATTAAATTCAGATTATTTTTATGAAATTATGATAACCTACCATATTTTTATCGAGTCTTGCATTCGCCTCGTCATGAAGTGCATTCAGTTTATATGTGGAAATGCCAAGCGGGTCCACGAGTTGACCGCTAGGCGTCCTCACTGCTAGTTCCATGCCTAAAGTCCTTAAACAAAATGTAAAAAGATATTTTTAATAAAATTGAAGTGACTCAAACGAATTTAACATCCACCTTATGGTAAAAGGCTACTGAAATCAATTGACACCTGCAACCGAGTTCAAACAAACAAGGCTGATAAGTTTTCATCTCTGAGGGGTTTTTTAGTTCCTTTTTATTTATATACCTTATAACTAAACAATAGAGGGTAAAGATGTAATAATAATAAAAAAGCCATATTTTTTTTTATAGGAAAGGGGTCAAACGAGCATGCGGCTCACCTGATGGTAAGTGACTACCGCCGCCCATGAACAACTGCAACACCAGGGAGGGAAATGCAGATGAGTTGCCGGCCTTTTAAAAAGGAGTACGCTCTTTTCTTGAAGGTCTATATATTATATTATTATAATTATATATTATATTATTATTATTTTTATTATATTATTCTATATCTTGTAATTATACTGGATTTCTATACACTTCAGTTCGGAAAGCAACAGTGCACACACTTCGCTTGGCGGCAAAAAGGGTGGCACAAAGGTGAGAGGGTGGCACGAACAGACGAACTCCGAGACACAGAAGGAGTCCTACCGACTAGTAAGTACAGAAACAATATACATACCTCCCACGTCTTCCTCATTTCTATGAAATTCATGAAACAGGAGAAATGAGTTCGTTGTTAATAATTATAAGTTGATAATAAATTAATGATAATTCGCACAATTTTAACCATAACCGATTATTTAGTAATTATTTTAGTATCGATTTCATTGAAAGGGAATACTTGCTTAATTTGATATTTGCAACTATGGTTTTTTTTATTTGAAACTGGTGCTTGACTATTATCCCACCCGATAGTAAGTGGTAATCCAGTCAAAGATGGTAAAGCGCACTGACTTAGCTTAACAAAAGCCTATTCACTCTTGCCTTGAAGACATCCACATTGTAATTGGATGGAAATACAGATGCTGGCAAATTAATGCACTCCTTTGCTGTACGCATGGCGACTGCAATATGGCGATGACTAACCAAACCGTTTGGTGGCAAAGGGGTAGAGACTGGCGGAGCGTCTGATTGCCCGAAGGTGGAAGGGAGAGTGAGAAACTAAGTCATGGTATTCCTGCGCGTGTATAATGTTTTATTTCATAATGTTGACGAGAATAATTACATACTGAATTACAGCAGTGTTTTACAGCAATAATCTCTGTGGTGTTCTCTATCTCTGTCTCATATTAGTCGAGTTGGTTGCTTTTTCCTTATAATATTTTTATTATCATTTAACTTTCCGTTGGCAGCACCCAGAAGGATTAGTCATTCAAATGCTAGAAATTTAACTTCGCACTGTCGAATCCCAAACATTAACTTACTTGTATAATGATTTCTTATATTTACGCGAACACTACATAAGTTCGGGAATATAAAATCACTTAATTAAACGCGATAAAATCCGTAAAAGTAGTTTTATTCAACTTACTTGTATTTCAATTTTCACTCAAACGTGTAATGGTAGTGTATGGTAAAACAACTTATAATTGAAGTCCGCGTGAATTAGTGTACTGTCAAAAGAGAGATGGAGCTAAAACGAGTCACAACTCTGTTACAAATGTCAAAAGCGTAGTTCATAGTACCGATTTCAAACATTGGGCTAGCTTGCCTGCCACCACAAACATCTAATTTTTTTAAATCTGCGCACAGCCACTGTGGTCTCTAGAATCGTGGTAGCATTGCGAGAGTGCTGGGAACAGCGAGTACTGACCCCGGTAGTCAAGCAAAACGACGCAGAAGCCCCGGTTGCGCACCGAAGGGATATCCCGGGTCCCTTAGTATTCGCTGATGATGACCACCATAAATTTTTCGTTACCCCCGCAGCAGAAAGTGTCCAAGAAAATTTTCTCACGATAAAAAAATGCCGGTCACTTAAGTGTTCCGTTACGTCATCACAAGTTGGCCTGAAATAAGACGCGTCCGTGGTACGAAATAGCAATACAGTTCAGTTAACGGTCTTAAACTGACCTGCAATAGAAAGAAAGATGACTGCACTAGAAATGCTGAAGCATACCTGTTTCCTTTGTCGATTGTGAATATCGCTGTCCTGGAGACCTTTCTAAGCTGGTCCTGCGGCAGTGCGCTGGAGGCAGCCTGCGCCCTCAGCTCCAACAGAGCGCGCATGCTCACCTCCATGAACTTGAAACGCTCGTCATTTGTCTGTAGTTTTAATTAAACGGTAATGTACTTAGTAGGTACCTTCTTCATCAGCCCAAAGAAGGACACTGCTGGACATGCACCTCTCCCGTTTTAGGGAGGATTAACTTTAATCGTTGTAAGGAGGGCTATACTAGGTCAACCAATGCACCGATCACTGGTAAAAGACTATATACTACTATCTATACTAAGATCTTTATATACTACTAGTGATCCGCCCTGGCTCCACACGGGTTATTTTTTGATCTCGACAGTAGCGCCACAACCGCGCTCAATTGTGCATATAAATCATTCAGGGGCCCAATCAAACACACAAATAATTTCATCAGAATCGGTCGAGCCAGTTTCGAGTTTTAGCGAGACTAACGGAACAGAAATTGATTTTATGTAAAAAGAAGATATAATTACTTTGTACGTGTATATGTGACTGAACCCCTCCTTAAGGGCGCATTCCGACGACACGCACCCTCTACGCATACCGGTTGGACCGATTTTAATAAAAGTTTATGTGTGTGATTAAGCTGATTCGAGAATGGTGTAGATTCACAATTGGATCCGGTAACTGATTATGTTGTTGAGTTGCAGAAATCACCTGTACGAAGCTGGTGCTGGTCGCTAGTTTATTATAATTTACATACTTTTAAATACACACACACCCACACACAATAAAGTTATGAACCTACAATAAGTAACACAAACATTCCTTACGGAAGTGTAAGGACACTACTATTTACACCGTAATTCTTGGCAGGTGGATTGACGATCGTAGTACCAGATATCTCGCACCTTTGTGGATGATGCCCGTCGACAATCTGGGTAAACTAAATGGTTATACCGCCAGTTATCGGAAGCCATAAGATTTTTCTGGGAATTCCCTCTCCCGCTATAAAGCTACACTCGACAGATGGGTTGAAGATCGCAGTATTAGACATATCACAGCTTTTTTTATAGAATAAGGGCGACAAACGAGCACACAGTCCATCTGATGACCAAGATGGAATACCTCGTTTCCAGTAAAAAGTTTCTCCGTATATCTACACTCGCCATACGAAACAGAGCAAGCACTAAGCTGCTATTTTACGCTCGTATTACGTGACAGCGTGGTCCCTTCCCCGGTCGAGCCGACCCATTCGTGCTACAACCATAATATAAAAGGCCGCCACCCGTCGCCGGTCTGAGTACTATATGCCTAACATAAACAAGATATTTATACCGCCATGGGGGACAAGCCACTGCTGTATAAACAATAATTACTTTATTTACAAAGTTAAATCTATAACTTACAATGTACAATTTCTTCCAGTCTTTGAGCCACTCGCGCAATGTGACCGCAATGTCGTGGACCACGCCGCCTCCCCCGGCAGATGCGACCACTGTGTCTCCGCATCTGAAGCAAACACATCAATAAACATTAACAATATATTCGAAAAATCATATTTAAATAACAAGGGCGCCTTTGCTAACTGTAAGACCGTCTGGGTCTAAAGGGTAAGCGTCAGTATAAACACAAGCCGTGAGAGGGCTTGATAACGCTACCTAATCCCATTATACGTGGTAATGCTGCAGTTAACTATATGTTATAGCACGAATGGATCGTCGGGTAATAATAGACCAAGAATTGTGTGCACCGTCAGGATGGCGTTCAGCAGGATATTACGCAAAAACTGACGGAGCGCATAGACGACCTGAAGAAGAGAATCGCTGCTTGGGGAAAGCGGATTCGGCGATATACCGAGAGGTCAACCCAGTTCAACCAGAACCGTCCCTTCCAGAGTGATGACAAGGGGTAGTGGATTTTCTTACGCCGCCACTACACGGCATATTATGTTACTTTTTAAAACTGTTAGTTTTTTATTTTGTCGATAAAAAACGTTATCAGTTCACGGTAGTTAAAAAAAGTTACCGAGTGACTGACTTGGCTCGCAATGTATTGCGATCTCATGAGCATAATACTGCTGTTTCGAATACCTACTACTTTACTGACATATTAGAACTATGCAGTGACAACAGATCTGCATTTTGATTTTAATCGATGGTAAATGTAGATACAAATTTGACGGCTTCGTGGCGTAGTGGCTTAGCAATTAGTTGTTGCGCTGGGGGCCGCGGGTTCGAATCCCGCACGGAACAAGTATTTGTATGGCCTACAAATAATTGTTCCGGGTCTGGATGTTTGTCCTTGTGCAATTTATGTTTGTAAACTGCCTCCACGACACAGGAGAAAATCCTAGTGTAGGGGTAACGTTTTTTAAAAAAAAAAAAAATTGGCCACAGTATTCACTTAGCATCGTTGGTAGTGGACTTAAAGCTCGTTTGCTACCCTTACTTGTATTAAAAAAAAATGTCTTTTTTTTTTACGTATGCTATACTATATGTACTAATTTTGTGGTTGCTGATAACACATTATCTCTTAATGCGATCTTTCACTTTTTTTCAGGGCAACTTGTAATACATTACACGGTTATTTTACTGCCCAGACGTCATGTCGGTGACCCCGCCCATTGGCGGTGAAAACACGGATGTACGCTTGTGCAATATAGTATGTAATTTTACTATCCAAAATAAGAGTCCGAATGAAACAGGATTTTAAAACGAAACCGTAACCGAAAACGAACCTTCGGTCTGGGTGTTAGTTGCGGCCGAAACCGAAACCGAAACTTATTTAGACAGGTAAACTATTTTTTATTGTATACTGAAATCTGATATATTTTATATATATATAGATAGGTTGCATGTTAATGAAAAAACAGTCATTGTTATAGTATTGTAACAATATATTTATTTATTTTAAAGTAAAAATCAACAATTTAACGTTAAGAAATATTTTAAGTCATTTTGTAAAAAAAATCAACACTTGCACCCGTACAAAGTTATTGTTTTTTTTTTTCGAGTTTAATTGAGAAAATATTTTATTGTGTTATTGCTATTCAATGAGAGCATTAACTTAATATATCACACTCACACACCCACACAATATACAGACAACTTAACAAAATCTTAAACTTAAAAGAAACTATTTCTAATTTGTTTTGTGTTGTTAATTGTGTAATGTAACATGTAACATACATAACATACTTGCCGAAACCGAAACCGAATCTTCCAAAATATCATGTCAGAGATCCAGTGTTGCCAATTCTGTGTCAGGTTTTAGAATTAAATAGAATTTTTTTTGTTCTTTAAAGTTTTGCTTATAGTTAAAATGTTATGTTTTACCTTTTTAAGTGCGTTAGGTCAAAACACAAGCTCTAGGTAACAACCAGAATCCTCCTATTTTACCACCGAAACTCGTACTGTAAGAAATGACAATTACGAGCGGTATTTTTTGTGGTGCACATTCGACGTTTAATTTTACAATATAGCGCGCAAGCGCCGTGTATTTTTTTTGTCCAATTTGGCATTTACGATCGTGACAATCATCGTGAAAGTACTCCCGGGAAATAAGGGATATGACATGAGCGTAAGACTTATCGCCTTATGTAACATATGGTCGAGAAATTGTAGTCGTATCGTGCGAAATTATCTTTTACAGTAGAAACCATCTGCCGCCCGGGAACGATAATCAACGAAATTACACAGAAGGCTTTATTCGTTATTTTATACATAGATACCTATTTTTATAAAAAGTAAAGAGGCGAGTATAGGAAAGGCCAGAATGACGTCTTGCCTCCGATAAATGTGTAGTTTTTTACTAAATGTAATAAATGTAAAATATCTAGACTAGATACAGGAAGCAGTGTCAAAGAAACATCAACGAAACATACTGATAAAGAAAAAAAGAGAACTGTGGATCATCTTAGTTCAAGAATTATTACTATAATGATAGTGCTGTGAGGCGAAATGGTCGGTTGTTATAGTGAAGAAATTAATAATATTAAATTAATATTGTGATAATGTATTACAGTTTACAATAAACCTAGCAAGCTAACAGCATAGCAAAGTGGCGAAGCAATCAGCTTTGTAGCGGTTTCTAACGGTTGCCGTTGAGCAATCAATTTCAAAATAGGAGGTTCAGATGCCTGGGTGATCAGTAATCGATTGCTGAAAACAGAATTTGAAAATTCAAAACCGTTCTCGAGATAATCGTGGGACAGACGGACAGACATCGTGAAATCAATAAGTGACTTCGCAAGCTTCGCCACTTAATAATGACATTATTTAACATGTTCTATAATAGAACTCGTATTTAGAGAATTGTTACTTTTTTTTTGGAGTTTATGGCCTGGTATCTGGACCTTTAGGCCAAATCTTGAGTATTTTTATTCGGTTTATTATAATTTCCCAAATGTATAATTATCCTTCATAGTTCACTGCTTCACAATATGTTGATGCGTTACATTGTGCAGTTCTTGGGAGATTTTGACGGCAACGTGATCCAGCAGACAGCTGACAGTTGGCGATGGTATCTAAAGGCGCCTATGCAAACAAACAGCTAATCTTGAGAATCCATCACCATCAGAGCACTTGTTTCACTGTTTCCACTAATAGTCTACATGCGTAGACACTTAATACACAAAATTGCACCACTTTTACATATCAAATTCCACTTCAAACCATTATTTAAACAATAATACAGGAGCAGCAAACCGCCGCCGGTCAATTTCCCGCCAAAACTCTAGAGAATTGTTACTTTAATATAATACACAATATACAATTCTTCTTGGAGGCGGTTAAAAATGACATCGCACTTTTAGTTTAAGGTTATTTGGCGCTTTAATGACATAAAAAGTAAATTTTAAGTCAATACTTACTAAGCAAACAGACCACTTATTCATAATCCATTATATTTTGAACAATTCTCTCTCACCAAATCATCTTTCTTTACTACTTTAAGCCAGTGCTTAGATACTGTCCCATTTGATGGTAAGTGATGAAGCCGAAGTTAGTTCGAATATATAACTAATCATCATCATCATCATTACAGCCCTTTACAAGTTCACTGCTGAACATAGGCCTCCCCCAAGGAATGCCACAAAGCACGGTCCTGAGCCACCTGTATCCATCTACCTCCTGCATATCTTACCAGGTCATCACTCCATCTAGTGCGGGGGTCGCCCTACACTTCGCTTACCGGTACGAGGTTGCCACTCGAAAACCTTTCTACACCATCGGTCGTCGGTTCTTCGTGTTATATGACCGGCCCATTGCCACTTCAAAGGAATATAATATATTTTTTTTATTTTATTCACGACTCGGTGACTTGTAAAGTGATAGGTCTGTAAATAAATAACTAAAAACGATATCGCTACGTGCCCGAACTGCAGTGGCAGACATTAGAGTGCGCTATTAATGTTTTGTCGATTTCCAAACGTTTTTTTTATCTGGAAAGCGTTAGAAAGGGAGCTTCATTCAGCGTTCGGATTAAAGGAAGCGGAAGGGATGATCATTAATTTGTTGTTCTCTTAAATGTTATTCTAAAAGATAAGTAAAGCTAGGCTGGATTTAGGTATCAAAATACAATCAAACCTATTAATTCCTTTTTTAAGAAGGGATTATTCAAAGGATAAGTGGAAACTTTAGATAACATAACTTGGTTGATTTATTGTTACAGTCGTTCGCCACCACGGTCCAACGGGCAAAGCAGTAAGTGATAATTTAATTAGTTTTTTCATACATTTACATAAAAATAACTTCTAATGTCTAATAATAAGTAAATACTAAAATAAAACTCGTTTTTACGGATTTTATCGCGTATATTAACTTATTTTATATTCCCGACGTTTCGAGCACTTTACAGCACCCATGGTCACGGGGGGAGGGGGGGGGGGACTGAGGTGTTTGAAGTCCCAATGTTAACCACGGCTAGCGCTAGATTAAAATTATTAATATTTGTTTCGATGTAAGCAGTATGAACTTACAGTATCTTGAAGTCTTGCAGCTGTATAATTGGGTTGCGATTTAATTTTATTAAATATAGTATCCCAAGCAGATGGTAGCACCCAGCCATCTTCTCCATTGAAATTAGGATGTTTTTTGATTTCAGCCTCACGTGCCTCACGTCCATTAGTCGTGGCACTACAGTCTGCGATTTTTTTGACGTGCCATGCAACAGCTGTATTCAGTTTTTTTTTTATAGGTTAGGGTGACAAACGAGCACACAGTCTACCTGATGGTAAATGGTTGCTGTGGCGTCTCAATGGGTCGGCTCGATAGGGGAAGGACCACGCTCTCACAGAATACCAGCGTAAAATACCAGCCGGTGCTGCGATGTTTCATATGGTGAGTGTAGAGAACCGGAGATCCTCTTTATTGGATAAGAGACATCCCATCTTAGTCCTCGGAGGTGACAAGGCATCTGCATTTTGATTCTTAATCTAGGATTGATATGGATATCTATGGGTCACAGCACCCACTTACCATCAGATGGACTGTGTGCTCGTTTGTAAATTCCATATTTTACATTTTAATTCTTTTAATTCAACAGATTCTAGTTTAGGTCTGAAACAGATTCTAGCTTAGGTCTGAGATTAATTATAGGTAGAGTACTTTTTCCATTTAGATGCATTGAATTAATTAATACCAGACACGACGTCGCGTGTTGGTGGCTGAGTGTAAAAGCACTCTATTGCACACCTCGATCGCGAAAGTGTCGCTCGCTTTCGTAAGACCTGTACACAGCAGTGGGACAAGTGTTAGCTGTTGCTTTACTTATCCGTCTTGAAAACCGCACGTTAACAAAACGGCGGACCTTGTAATTGATATATTCAAAAAGCAAACCGATAATGTGTCAATTAGACAGGCGTCGGGTGGGTCGGCCGCGATTATCAGTGGGGTCGTCGACTCGGTCAATTGGCGGCCTTATATTTGTGATGCATCACGGATGACGAGTAAGAGGTCGCGCGTTCGGTTCTCATGTGAATTAAGAGTTATTACGGAGAGTGGAGACGATATATAATGAAATGATCATAATTTTTATGGAATGAAGCTCAACGGAAGTGCAGCTCAATGGTGGATGGGTGCTCTTTAATCAAGTTTGATTCTATAAAAATTATTGCAGTCACGCTGGAGTTAATCTCTATATTCAGTGCAGCGGAGAATCAATAACTTCGCCCTCTTTCGCTTTCTTTTTTTTCATACAATGAGGATAACAAACGAGCAAACAGTCCACATGATGGTAAGTGGACGCTGTGGCCTATAGAAATGTAAATCTTTCTCCGATTAAAAATCAAAATGCTGACGCGTTGTCACTCCTGAGGGCTAAGATGGAATGTCTCGTTTCCAGTAATAAGAGTTCCCATATCTCTACACTCACCATACGAAACACAGCAACATTAAGCTATTTTCCGCTGGTATTCTGTGAGAGCGTGGTCCTTTCCCGTTCGAGCCGACCTATTCATGCTACAACCATAATATACCTAAAGCATGGCTCTGCCACGTATAAAAATCTGATCGTTTCAGCTTCATCATCAGTCAGTAAAAGCCCACTGCTGGTCATAGCCCAATTCCATTTTTGTAGGTAGGGGGCCCTAATCGTCACGTTTAGCAAGCGGATTGACGATAACAGCACGAGACGCCTCGCACCATTGACACTGCTGCCCGTCTCCCATCTGGGTTGCGTACACCCGGTGTAAACAAGGTAATTAATCGTAATCATGACTGTATCATATCATAATTGTAAAATGTTCTTTTAAAAAAAATCTTGCTTATTCTTCCAAGGATAGTGGTATTTTCCGAACCAATGGTAAATTAAACATAAGAATGACTCCCAATAAGTATTATCTGTAATATTATGTTGAGTAAAAAGTTTCTATTTCTATTTGTTACACAGCCATCTATCGGAAGACATAACATCTTTAAGTCATTTTCCGTAGTCGTATTTTACGAAGGGTAATGGTGGTGTAAGAGAATCCCATCAACATATATATACCTGGTGGATGAAGAGGAATCAAGCCGCAAATACTATACTTCGGATGTTCGTCCGTCGGTAATAACCAATGGAGGTAAGCAGATTGTCGAGGACAAAATAGAATAGAATAGGCAGCGTAAGGAAATCCATCACCCCATTTTGTCTCGTACGTGTCATAAAGGCAACTATAGGAAATCCCAGGTTGATTTCATGGCTTCCGATAGGTGGCAAGATAACAATCACGATTACACAGGTCGAAGAACTAGGAAACCGGAGACGGCAAACAGCGTTAAAGGTGCGCGAAGTCTGGTAATAATGTCCAGACCGAATTTCGGTTACGGCGGCCAGTCTCAAAGGAAATACGCCATCTGCGCGGGATATGTTTACAGTGCCCGATCGTATGTGCACGCACAAGTGCACTCTCTATTCCCTCACTCTCATAGTCCATACGACAGCAATCCGACACGACCATAAAGAGATCAGACGTAGGACCAACGACATTCCAAAGCACGGGGATGAAACACCGCCAACTTTCTGACACCGAGCTGTTACTCATAATTTCTTTCGAGAAAAACTCAATAACTCATTTTTGGTACAAACTGGGATTCGAACCCGAGACCTTCTGATCAGTAGCCGCTTTTACGATCACTAGACCAACGGGGCAATCAAAGACCAATGAGACAGTAAGTCTGGTACTGCGATCGCCAATGCGCGTGCCAAGCGTGAAGATTACTACTACCTAGTATTTTTAGAACTAACAAGAAATCCAGCAGGAATGTTGTTCATGGTAACACCGTAGCAGACTTTTAGAATACTGCAAATGCCCAAAGTCGCTGCGATTAAGAATACTGTGTTTTAATAAACTTACCTGTCAACGGTGCAGTCGCGGATAACGACGTAACTTTTCGGGAAGGCGCCACTATTATCCCTACGGAGGCTGGTTCCCCAGTACCAATCGCGCGTCTCCCTTCGCAGGTGCACCAGTTCGCCCACTTCCAGCTGCAAGTGGGCCGGTGTACTGCTTGTGTAGTTGTATACAGCTGGACAAGAGAAAAATTAGTCAAAACGATTCAGTACTGAATTGAACAGCATTTGTAGCGACCAGAATTGGTGTGGTCTTGTTTTTCTGGGAATCTTAGAATGAGAATCTGAGGAATTAAGTTTGTGTATTAGTGTAATATTTATCATTATCATAAGGTACTAGCAAGCCGCCCCGGCTTCGCTATTTAAGATACCTAAAAACCTCCAAGTTTTTCAAATAAAATATAGCCCAGATCACTCATGGCACTGCTCTTTATCTATTCGTCAAGTTTCATTACAATCGTTTAAATAAAATTAGTTCTTATGGATTTTATCGCGTATAGTACTTATTTTATATTCCCGACGTTTAGAACTCTTTACAGCATTCATGGTCACGGACGAGATTGGTCTCGGCATCCCTTCATGAAATTTAAGGCTGTTAGATATCTTGTGCGCTTGGACTTGAGATCTTCTAATCGGCGAATTTTATTTGCAATTACCAGACCGTACTGGTTTACATAATGATTTCTTATATTTACGCGAACACTACACATTTAAATAAAACTAGTTTTTACGGATTCTATCGCGTAATATACGCGTAATAACTTATTTTTATTTAAATGTGTAGTGTTAGCGTAAATATAAAAAATCATTCATTACAATCGGTTCAGCATTCCGAAGATTAGCCCGGACAGACAGACAGACAAACATTTTTAAAATAGTCATCATGTTTTTTTTAAGTGAATACTTCTTTAGGCACTTTTGGGATGGAGAAAAAAGAATGACCTCTCGTGACCGTTACGCTCAGATACTTTTTTTTTATAGGATAAGGGTGACAAACGAGCACACAGTCCACCTGATGGTAAGTGGTTGCTGCGGCCCATAGACATCTACATCTATCCTCGTTTGCAAATCAAAATGCAGATGCGTTGCCACCCGTGAGGACTAAGATGGAATGCCTTATTTCCAGTAAAAAGGGCCTCCGGCCACCTGCACTCACCAAGCGAAACGCAGAGGTAAACCTCTACTTCACGCTGGTATTCTGTGAGGTCGTGGTACCACCCCGGTTCGAGCCGGCCCATCCGTGCGACAGCAAAAGCTGCCGCGTGGCTCTACCACTTTTTTAAATTAATGGAATGCAAATGATCCGCTCAGCTTAATAAAATGCAGTTATTTTAATATTACTGACACTTCAATTTTATTTATATGTATAGTAGAGCGAAGCAGCAACTGCAATTTGGTTTTACGAATAGGTCAGTTCGACCGGGGCAGAGACATGGTACATTATTTAAACATGCAAAATCGTTTACGTACATTATATAATGCTGTTATGTTTCTTACGGTAAGTGACGAGATACGGAGACCATTTTTACTAGTAACGAGGAAAACCATCATAGTCTTCAGGGGTGACAAAGCATCTGTATTTGGATTCTTAATCGAAAATTGATGTAAAGGTTTTTTTGTAGGATAGGGTGACAAACGAGCGCACACAGTCAACCTGATGGAAAGTTCTTGCTGTGGCCCATAGACATCTACATCTATCCTCGTTTGCGAATCAAAATGCAGATGCGTTGTCACCCGTGAGGACTAAGATGGAATGCCTCTTTTCCAGTAAAAAAGGTCTCCAGTTCTCTACACTCATCATACGAAACACAGCAGTGTTAAGCTGCTATTTAACGCTGGTATTCTGTGAGAGCGTGCTCCTTCCCCGGTCGAGCCGACCCATTCATGCTACAAATATACTACTAATATAGCTGCAGCATGGCTTTTCCACGTATAATATATAGGTGTCTATGAAACACACATCAGGGGGACTGTGAGCTCGATTGTCACTGCTACTTCCATAAAAATGTGTAATACATTTGACTGTTGTATTTGGTTTGGAAGATATATAAGATAGATAGAACCAGGATAGTCTCAGATTGTGGGACGGTCTTATTTTATCTTGGGTATCCGTTATGAGTTATGACAATTAATTCTCGTAGTAGTATTTTTTAAATTAAAATTAATTGCAATTTTTTATTTAAAGTTTAAATCACAAACGAAACAGTCTAGAGGGAAGTGGCTTCTGCAACCCATGGATACCTGCAACCAGCTTCTAACAAAGTCTGTTTATAGGACTAATGCCACAAAATAAACAATAGTTAAAAGAACTAATACGGAATGTCTCACAGTCTGTAATTATATTGGATTTCTACATACTTCAGACTGAAACAAACCGTTGCATGCAGTTCTGTGTAGCGTTAGAAATAGAAAACAGGATGGTACCTGACGGTCTCCTTATCAGAAAAGTTTTTGTTGTCAAAAGGGTTTTGTTAGCGTTCGAGTAACCGGTCGCCCACCCACAATGTTTCTGTCATTATTTCTGACAAAGAACATTTTGGTATTTCATCAAAGATAGATACTGTTACGACCCTGAGGTCCCGCTACCTAGTAACTGATTACTAGATAGCGGGACATGAGAGTTGTAGTATTTTCCATAATAACCAGTGAGTGACTACAACCCCGCACAAGTATCTGTGCTATATAACTGCTGCTTCATCATCATCATCATCGTCTTAGCGCTACCTGAAAACACATTTGCCTTGAACGCAAAGAACCGCTCCAACCGCAAACTTAAGATTTGGACCATCGGAAATAATTATTTATTATTTTAGAAACGTTACCCCACACTAGGAATGTCTCCTGTGTCGCGTTACTTTACAAACATAAATGGCACGAGGACAAACATCCAGACCCGTAACAATTATTTGTAGCTCATACAAACACTTGTTCCGTGCGGGATTCGAACCCGCGGCCCCTAGTGCAACAACTCATAGCTAAGCCACTGCGCCACGGAGCCGTCGCACGAAAGCACGAGATTTGATCCATTATTTTCCTTAGTCGTCTCTTACATTACACAATTGTTGCTATTATTATTATTCAACCGTGTAATGGCGGTGTAAGAATATCTACTACGCCATATTATCCCGTATGTGTCGTAAAAGGCGACATAGGGAAACAAATCAGGAGATGGGCAGCAGCGTCTTCCTAATAACGGCTAAAAATAAAACTACGGATGCCAACCAGCTTGCCAAGCGTGGCAACTATGGCAAATATCCCCCTGCCCAATGAGGCACTCTATGGTGGAGGCGACGGACTTTGATAGGCTGTAACGGTAACGGTACTATTCTTTGACGTCACCAGTAATATTATCATTTGTCATCACAAAAACAACTTCCATGTATTCCGAAAAAGTCTATCAATTAGCATCACCGCTAACATATAACGTGCTTCCGTCCATCACAGAACAAACCGTTATCCTTACGCACAACAAAACACTAGCTAATTATATTCCAAATGCTTTACCATTAAAATGTATTGAATACTCGCAACATCCGTTTGAATTTTTATTATGTCAAGTATTGTTGTAATTGTTTGTTAACCGTGCGTGAGTTATAGCAGTCAGTTTTGGATTAAGCTAGTAGATACATGTGTTGTGTTATTTGTTCAAATACGCTTTTATATAAATAAACCGATCGCGCAAAAATTTACTGAAAAGACAAGTTTTATATCCTATCACTTCCACAACTAAGACGAATCTGACGACATCCCACATATACATACATCAAGACGTTTAGGCTACAGAGTGCGCCAAAGAAATTCCCATACATACATACATAAATGTGTACTCGGAAAAACATTACTCTCCTTGGATAGTCGGATAAAAATGAAACGCATCTATAACACAGGTAGTCAGGTGTATGTATTCTACTTAATTATGAATATAAACCGACACTGCACTTGTAATGATCTCGCTGAACGGTGTACACACTTTACCTACATATACTCTCTTTTGCATTTTTAACATCAACATTTAAACATTTAAAGCGCATAATACATAGTATTTCTTATTATATGCAAATAGGACTTTCTCGGTTGCATAATAGCTAATATCATATAATCTACTATCTCATATCATTACGTTGGTGTCGTAAGAGGCGACAGAGCGCGGCAGTGAAACAGGATATGGGCTGCCGCATTCCTAATAATAACTCAAAATTATAACAAAATGCGGTTGCCGCGCCCCTGGCAAGCATAGCAACTATTACAAACACCCCCCCTATATATAGGATATATGAGGCAATATATAGGAGTGACCAATGTTCAGCAGTGGACTTTTGATAGGTTGTAATGAATGAATGGTTACATATGACAGTGTACCCTAAGGATATCATTTGGTATCCATACATCAATACATCATTTAAATATAAATTATAACCCATGGGAAAGAAAGGTTTTCGAGTGGCAGCCTCGTACAGGTAAGCGAAGTGTAGAACGGCCTCTCAACAGATGGAGTGACACGACCGTATATGAGATACAAGTTGTCGATGGATGCAGGTGGCTCAGGAGCCGTGCTTTGTGGCATTCCTCGAGGAAAGTCTATGTACAGCAGTGGATTTGTGTAGAGCTATAATGATGAAGGTGGTAAAGATGGATTATAACGGTAAGTCGCGTTTTGTTGTCGAATAAATAGTTAATATCAAGTCTCGAAAACCATACAACTTTAAATCTTTCAAAACAAAAAGACAAATGAATGGAATTTATCAGCAAGTAACGAATTAATTTTCATCTCTGAAAGAGTTAAGACAGCTATTTAAAATGAGATTTCAGCAAATGCCATTTGTAATGAATGGGATCTTAAACTTATATTAACTTGGCTTACCGAAAGATTTGGCTGCATTATCAAACATTAAGATCAGCCTCTAAAGTTCAGTTTAACGAACTGATTTTAATTATTACTAGAGCTAATAATTATAGATTAAAATTAAGACAACATTTGAAGGATTGTTTTTACATTCATGATAACAAAGAAGAGTAATGTCTGTCTTTGTATCTGTAGTTTATAGGTGGTAGAGCCACGCTGCTACCATATATAATGGTTGTAGCAGGAATGGGTCGCCTCGTCCGGGAAAGGACCACGCTCTCACTGAAATACCAGCGTAAATGCAGCTGTGTTTCGTATGGCGAGTGTAGAGAA